TTCGCTCATATCACTCTCATCATCCAAATTATTTAGGTTAATGCTCCTAAGTAGTGTTCTCTTCACATACAAAATAAACAGTTTTAGCAGTCTGACACATATTCTCTTTAATTAGCTTGTCAACAACCCTAATCAAGTTGAGGGAGGAACTGCTATTTTATAGGAAAAATCGCAAAATGTGTAATATCTTTTTAACATTAATTTTACATTGATGGGGTTTGTACCATTTTTTTTTATAGTTACAAGGACTGCAGTATAACACACTAAATCTCTATCAAAATGAGTCAGTTTTTCCATTAATTTTCGAGTTTTTATGGAAAAAATCAGAATTGAAAATTAAAGTTATAAAAAAACTCCTGTAGATACTTTGAGAACCCTGGTGAGATTAGTATCTACTTAACGAATTTAATCTAAATCGGACCATACGTGTGGTATGTAGTGTACATATCCACATACACATAAATACATCGGATCGAACATTGTATCATTCTCCAACACACACATCCAGGCATCACTTTCAGCAATCACTTTTTTGGTTTCAGGAGGTACCCTAAACTCAAACATTTTGACGAAAACAATACTTTCTGCATACTTTGTATAGGGCGATAAAGTAATATATAGCGGAAACATCAACACTCAATCAAAAGCTAACACTTAACACAGTGACAAATTACTTTGAAGATTTCCTAGAAGAACACCACTTACCTCAATGTCACAAAACTCCTCACCCCGTTATTTACACCAAGAAACAATAGCAAGCGAACCCGAGCCTTTTTCAATTCCATCTCCAAACAGTAATTTACAACTTCCCTGAACTGTTCAGAGTCCCGTTGTATGTTTGTTGTCACCGCGTTTATAACTGAGTGGGTTGCCTTCGCAGTAAAAACAAGTGCAAACCGTTCACTAAGGGCTGCATTGGCAAAAAGCACATCCTCTAATACACTTCCTGGCCCTGAAGTGCCGTTATGGGACCCGTTTCATACCAAAGTGCGAAACTCTACCGTCCCTTCGTAACTTGATTGGAAGAGCCGACAGAGCAAAAGAAAATGTGTGTGAGAGAGAGTGAGAAGGTGAGAGATAAAATGGAGAGAAGACGTGAGGTCTTTTAACACCTCGCACGTGACCACAACTTAGCGAAACTTTGTAACGAGCCTCGCCCGTGACTTTCATTAAAGTTTATGTTGGTTGAGAAGCGACCAAGTTTGGGCGATGAATAAGTTATGATTGGAAATTCAAACGTTGCCGGACTGCAGTAGCACCACAGACAAGGAAATGAATTAGATGTTCTATGTAAAGTTTAGAGACGACAGATATACATAAAACATACAGTACTAACGGATGTCTCTGTAATAATTCGACTAACGGAATTAAAATATTAAGAAATTACTTTTAGCCATTTCATCATGTTACAATCTTCTGCATTACTTTTAAGTTGTTTATATTCATTGGAGATGATGTCTTAAACGGTTCATTCCTATTGTCAACAACAAAAATGAATGCATTTCATGTAAAAGATTTAATCCAATTTCGATGTTTCTGTACTTTTTATATACAGTTATCTATATTTATAGTTTTAGATGTTGGCTGTAGAAATTATTCAAAACATCCGAATCTAAAGTCAGCAACACAGATAAATGGACATCTAATCCACTTGTATTCGGTGTTCATGCCGATTTTTACATTTTGTAAAGTTATGGACATCACGTTTATAACAACTCCCCCTGAAAAAATCATTTCCCTACTTCAGTGATATTGAGTACACGTGAACCACATTGGCCGAACACCAAGAGTCAAAATCCCGATCCAACGAGCCCATTGCGACACTAATGGGCCATTAATTAGAGTTGATCTCTGGAGTACAATCAACATCTTGAGACCAAAGCCATCTCAGACTCGAGTGCTTCTCTAACAGTCCGAGAGAATGTCCCTCAGTTACTGGGGCAGTTCCGTAGTATTTGATGTGATCTAATCAATTGCCTTTATACAATGTGTGCGATTAATTGAACTCGAGGCAATTGATCGAATGGTATGGATAATAGGGGTGTGTAACGTTTGAACATTGCCATATAAGGAATAAAGGAGTAAAACTAGTTGAGAGATTTGTTATGGTCTCAAACTGAATATACTAATAATATACACAAACTAAAACCGTATGCACAATAAGCTCGTTTAAAAAGAATCAACCAATATAAGCAACAAAACCTAATCCACAGAAGCTAAGAGGAACTTAATTCAATAAAACACACCTTTTGTCCAAATCTAATGCCCGATCTTCCACTAAATTCATGCAAATACAATTTGTACCAATTCGTACAATGTATACAACTTGTACAATTTTTAGAATTTGTGCTACCTATGAAATAAGGTTCTGCTACCTGTGAAAAAAAGGTACTTATGTGACGAAAAACTATATTATTTCTGAAGAAGTTAACAAACTATTTCTTACGGGCGATGATAAACAACAACTATAGTAGATTCAACAAATGTGTAACAACATAACAATACATAGCCAAATAACTATACTTTTAATAAACTTATCCTAAGAATCTTGGCCTTACCTATAACAAATCATGTTTTAAATGCTAACGAGTTTCAGTCCAAATGACTGACCTTCAACTTCATTTCTACTACACGGAAGTAAAATTAACGAAACTAACTATACAATTATAGTAGTTTCATTTAATATCACTCTAGAAAATTAAGTTTACAAAATATGCTTCACATTAGTTCCCAAACCTAGTGAAGCACCCCCATCAGAGATCCAAAGTATCAAATAACACATGATCTTCCCAAAGGTATTATAGGTAATATAAAACCTAATAGAACGCTTGCGAGATTTGTATTCAGTTGTTTGTTGCTCTGTTTTTTTCCCAGGACTAATACTAATCCCTGGGGAGTATCTAGTTTCAGGCTAGGACTAGTTTCGGATTTCGTGCGTTTCGGTTGCAGCAGATTTAGCGTAAAGTACAATAGTGGCAGCTGCCCAGGGAGCCAATTTGTTTTTGATAGGGGTTGAGATCGCCCTTACGCATCCTGGGGGCGCCTCATGCATTACCGTAGGCTCCTGCTCCGGCTCCCTCCTTGATTTACTGTTATAGACCTTAGATTCATCCCTATAACGCTACAGGGGATTCTCGGGGAAAAGAGATAAGCGGGTGTGGTTTAGTTGCTTGGAAAAAAGTAAAAGTAAACTGGGTGAAATATAAATGAGTTTTTGTAAATTTTGTGACTGTTGTTCTTTATGGATATTCTAAAGAGATGGTTCCATAAAAAAATAAAACACACACACAATAAAAGGCAATTAAGAATAAGTTTAAGAGTAGGTAGATTATAATAGTTTAGCGTTGTCAGGTAATCTCGATCAGAGGAAATGGAAACATCGACCAAAAAGAATGTAGACTTAAATCTATTCGATTTGAACATTATCGATGAGTTCTTAAACAATGGTATTGGTATTCAGTGGTAATTGTGATCACCTCATTCCCAAGTTCACGAGATCGATTCTGTACCCATATATTTTTTTTACTGGGCTATAAATAATGACATTAAAACGGGCTATCTAGCAAAAGGTTACTGTAGATGGTAACAACATGGGGGTTCAGACAGTTTTCTCACAAAAATATATAAAATCACACATATGCTATGACGTATAAAATAATATTGAATTTGTTCCAACAAACCTTGAATTTTCAAGTGGAACTAAACAAGGTAACTTTGATTTTTGAATGAAATAACACATTTTTAATCAATGCAGGTTTAAACTAATTGTATAATACTGTTTTTGTGAAACATGTATAAAATCATTGTTTTTACAGCGAAGATTGGACAAACCTTGTAAAATTTAAACCGGAAAAACGATTTCTCAGAAACAAAACCGTTCGTAAATGCAGGATTTTAATTCCATCAAGAGTTTTCGTCTCGGGGGATTTCCAGATATTATCGACGTCGAAGTTGTTGGACTCTGAGATGATTATTGTTTCCAAGTCCGCCAATCTCCTGAGGGAGTTCAAAGCTTGGATTTCAGTTGGTACAACTGTCAGTGTAACTGTAGTGGCCTGATTACATCTAATATAACTTGATTTACACTAACTTGGTAAATATAGTTAGGGCATTTTAGGAATAAATTAATCTCCAAAGGAACATTCGTTGAAAAACTATCATAGTTTATTTGTATTTGTATAATTAAGAACTTTAACCGTTAATGCTTTTTAAATACATTATTGTAAGGTTCGGATTTATTTTCTCTTCAGACGTTTAAAATGGTAGTTACAATAATAGTTATTAATTAATGCGTGGGTATGGGAAACGTAAAATATTTTAAATGGGATCAAGTTTGAATTAAAACGATTTCAATTAATACTTAACATTGGTGAGCAGTGTTCACCAATCAATGAATCAATATTTATTCCAAATATATTATATTTCTTATAAATTTAGTTAACAAAATCGCTGAAATGGTTATTGGGAACATCGACCAACCATTTATACACAGATTTGTAAAAGAGACATTTTCGTTTATGACTATGTTGCAAACGGTTTTAAAGAAAACAGTTGTAGTCCTCACATTTCTATTATTGTTACCATAGACTGGGGATCAAACCTCTCGAATTGGATTTCGCTTGGAGATGTGAAGCAATAGACTGGCTCATTTCCTGCAATGCCATTTCTAGTACGATAACTACATTGTAGGGTTAAATTGTGGTTAAAATATCTAAATATTTTATCGTTAAAATATATTTTTCAACTTAACCATAAACTGAGGTTGATATACTCGTAATATAGAATGTATACAACAATCCTGTCACCTTAACCCCAGTTTTAATTTAGAAGAATCCATCATCCAGATCTTCCTCGGAGGTCCGTGACACACAGGGTGTCCCAGAATCTCTACCTCCGGCCGTGACAGTCTGGACTTCAAAGCAGCTAATAAAGACAAATTTAGCAGATATTAATAAACCTGTCTCCCCGTGATGGTTTGTAATTAGTCCGTTTGTTGACAGTGTTGGGAGCGATGCCAGCAGTTGGAGTCCAACTTTGTCGTCTGGGGCGTCATCTGCTCGAAAACGGCACTTTGCGTAAGTACACTCATGACTTCACTGATAGAATGTTAGCTGAAAAAAATATTGCAAAAATTATGAGTCTACTTTATTAGGAGTGAATTCAAATTTGTAGGAGTAAACTTATGACCTAATGGTTACAAAATACTTAAATTAAGTGTCTCTGAAAAGTGTTATGGTATGGTGGTAAAAATGGGGCTAAGTATTGAAAGTGGTACATAAAAACCCGTCCCTTAAATAATCTTGCTTTTATTATAACGAGAGGTCGTCCAGTGGTCGAAACTCGACCAAAAATATGTAATGTAAACTTACTCACTTCTCTATTTTCACCCCACACTGTAAATAAAACATGTGATTGGAGTTTCTTCCATTTGTTTTGATTTTCTGTTTATATTTCGTTGTTATTTCGTCACCAGCATGGCAACGCATAAGATCCATGTTAATTTTTCCAAATTTTTAAACTCATTTTTTGTGCTTATCTTTGAGCCTATTTAAATTTATAAAGGGATTCTGCACACCTACAGGAAAATAGCTTTCTAACGGTATGCGTAGATTTACCCCACGATGCACACGAGCTGAGAAAAAAGGTTTTAAAGAAACATGCTTGCCTATTAATATATAGATAGATATAGATATAACCGAGTCTGTATACACTACAACTGAAGCTTTGTAGCCCTCTGAACGGTATATGAAAGTTCTTTTTTTGTAAGCCAGACTTTGTGGGTCTATCAGTAATGTATGTAATGACGAGTAAACAGTAAAGTTATTCCTAAAGCTTCCTCTAAAACAAGACCGCGGCGTTGGTGTATGGCAACGTCGCACCGGCCGGCCTATTGCCATCGTAATAACAGTACAACAAACATGCAAACAGAAATATTGATCAGAAGCTCCATTATGAAGCAAATTGATGTTCCGGTAGGCCGAGATTGCGGCGTTGCCACTTAGGTCTCGCCTGCATTGTTTAAAGTGCAGTAAAGTGCATTGTTTTACAAACATATTTCCCACTTACAGGGTAGCGGGTGTCAACTAGCCTGTCAGTTCCATCGGGAAGGTTCAGCGCAGCGAGCCCCCGTCCTGGTCACTCAAGGTCAACAGGTGATATCCCGGTCAGGATTGCAAGTCAGCTGGCCGTCCCCCGGGGGTCTGGGGTCGCCGTTCGTCTACGTGGTGATGAGCCAATCAGGAGGCCAGTGGAGACAACTGCTCCAGACCATGGATCTGACCGCTAGAGTACCAGACACCTCGCTGAGAGTGCTGGTAGTGGCTAGAGAAGGGTTGGTGACCATCTACCGTCCGCGGGGCTCCGCCCTCCCCGCTGCTGAGGATGTGCTGCGGCAAGTCAGTCAGGATGCGCTGCGGACGCTGAGGCTGCCTGCGCCGCATATCAACACTCAGGTGTTTGCTGAGCCGAGTCAGGACCCTCTGGATATGCTGGTAAGTAATATTTATAATCAATGGTAATATGCATAATGATAACTCTGAGCTACTGTGTTAAAACCTTTGTCATTCCCCACGAAGATGTCACTTCTAAATTGATGTAGACGCATCGAACACACTACAAACTTGAAGTCTCACAGTTACAATAAACACGTAAAAGCATCTCCGAGTTTAGTCTTGTTAATTCAGACCAATGACAACAAAATAACATAACATCGAATTGTTATATTTTAGCAAGGATAATTTATGAAGTCCTGCAGATCAAGAACAGCTAGGTCCAGTTTCTAGCCATCGAAAAGATACCCTAATATGTATCTGTATTCTTCTAACCAAAGTGAATAAGCAGGATTATTTTGTCTCACCGTGGTGTACACTACTTTTAATGGGCAATAAGTCAGGCAGTATATGTTTTTGTCACCACAATATAAGAAACACTGCTGTGGAGAAATCTGAATCATTACACCTTCAATTGTGCAGGTCTTCCCATAACTATATGCTGCTAGTTTTACCCCTGAAGATGTTGTATACTTACGATACTGCTCTGGAATTGAACGACATAAATGGTTTTAACAACTCACTCCAAATTCCCTAAAATACAAGCATGTATGTAAAATGTTCGGAGAATTGATTTCACAGTGATATTAGAAGAATAAAAATGGATATCCCTACAGTAAAATATATAAATAAAGAGAAAATTATGATGCGGAATTGCGGATACAAGGTGTTTTCAACGTCACTGACATATTTATAAAGGGAATGGTTGCAAGTTACAATGGTTGTAAATTAAATATTGTTAGTTTCGCTGTCAACATTATTCAGCTGTTCACTTCTTCATTCCGTCTGTCGAAGCCAACCGAGTTAGCATATATTAGATCAACCTTGGAATTAGCATACATTTAAATAAACTTCTCCACTTCCACCGAACAGCCTAATCTGCTTAAACTAACTTTGTATTTTCTAAGTTTATCAAATTCACTCTTCGTTAGGACATTCCTACATAATCTGATATTCAGTTTCTAAACTAGTTTAGGAGGATGTTAATTACTTTCTAAAAGTGAAAGAACGACTCTAAAAATGTAATGTTGTTATTATGCTCAAGCAGTGGCGTGTGCCAACTCACATAAATTCTAAGAAAACAAAACCTACAATCAGTATTTTATGATAACAATTCAACAACATAAATCACGATGTTAAACATACATATCTCTGAACTCAACTCACGTACACTTACTTGTATTGTTGTATCGTTACTCAAACAATTACTAATTTACTAAACGTTTTTCAAACACGTACTGGTGCTCAAGTGATGATCAGAACACATAAATAAATTCATATTCATAGTGAACTGTGAAAAAACCTTTTCTTACAATTCAGAAATCAGAAAAGTTGTAATAAAAAATATCCAATCAATACGTTAGTGACGATTTTGATTAGGCTAAAGGGTATCTAGACCAATAAAAATAACCGCAAAAAAAAAGAAAATGACATTCCACTATTTTACAAGGTCTACAGAAGTATTCATGATAATTGGCAATTGTTTTTTGTTTTTATACAAAAGATCACAACTTAATTTCCACTTTTTAGTACAAAAAACACCAATATGACCTAGCAATCTAAATATGCAGTTACGTACAGTCCTATCCAAAACTTGTATTTACAATCCTATGTGTTTTATTACAGAAGGACATCGATGGCAGATGGAACCTTCGTCAGCTGTCCCTGATTCACCAGAAGGTCCTGGTGATAGCCGAAGTAGCCTGGAACCCTCAAACAACTTCCTCTGTAGCGCCTGTGTACCTAGTCACTTGGGAGGTCGATGGTGGAGGCCTCAGAGGGAACTTATTCACTGACTCGACCGCAGTCACTCTATCACTGTGGCCTGACACTGTCTACCATATACAGGTGAATTTTGTGTACTTTTAATATTTATATACTTCTTTGTATAGTTTTGTTTACCGTGGTAAAAGTTTAAGAATAATCTGAAGGGTAATCAATTGGATATTTATGAGATTTTTCATCGTTTGACACTTAAGATATATAATTCAAGGTAAAATCTCTATCACTTGTTTGGGTCGAAATCAAGTTTGCATCTTAACTGGCTTTGTATACGAATTCAAGTTCTGGATAAAAATACTTCCTGGTTGGTTATCATTATCTTCTCATAATCACCTAATTTAATAAGGTATTTGTAATTGTCAGAACATCAACAATTCCTATTTCATCTTGAAAAATTAATCATGCAATCTACACCTTATCTTAAAAAATATAAACTAATAATGTTGAAAATAAGATAATGGATCGCTGATTTAAACTTTGAGCACTTAACACTGAAGGAAAAACGTACAATTACGATTTGGAGTAAAGGAATACGAAATGTACACTGAAATATATTGACCTTACAGAACAAATAATAAAACGAAAGAAATAATCGCCTAAACAAGTGATAAATTATATTATTTCAAAACTGATTTAACTTACGCCTGAGAAGAAACGTGACTTGTCAGTTGTCAACAGGGAAACCAATCTCAAAATACGAGGGACTTGTGAGAAGTAATCAAATCATAGCCAATTTGAAACAACTCAATAAACAACAAAAGTACACTTGGAGTGCTCTATTGGATAAACAATCACCCTTCTCTCTCTTCCCTCCAATCTTTCATTTGTATTCTGAGAAAACACAGGCTCTAAAATGATTCGTCTTCTCGAGTCGGCATAATGCCATTCTTGTAATTGAAAAATATAAATCACGTTAAACATATACATTTTATGATTATAAAATAACAACTATGGACAGGAAAATGTGAGTAGTTATTTAATAAACAAAATTTTTTCAAATATTTACCAGACAAATTTTGTTTCACTTTTAATGATCTAAAGACAGTTTTTTGTAGTTTTACCATCGAAGCTCGTGTACGGAAACCAATCAAAATGAATAAGTCTTAATCTCTGTAGCAGGGACACCTATTACATAAAGATTTCCTAGAATATGCCAACACTGAAGCAACAAGACGTATATGAAAGTAAACTAAAATATCTATTTTATCTTGTAACCCATTTTTTCTTAAATATAAAGTCAAATTCTTTCGGTTAACTGGTTACCGTGTAAAATCTTAAACATACACAATTACCTTTACATTTCACTAATAGTTTAATTCTGTACACCTTCTCCCTTACAAATCTTACAACCCTAAATGTAAACCCTTATTATCATTTTTCATCCCTAGAATTCTAGGCTGTTGACATCAACTGCGTCTTCATTTGTAGATTGCTGCCAGAAGTTTCCCTCTTACGAGAACTTTGAGATGGGTTCTTCAGGGGCTGAGTACAAATCACTTTGGATTATAACAACCCTTCTTAAGCCAACTATTGCAAAATTACCATCCTTAACCTCAAAACTTCAATTGCAGGTCGAACTGGTCCGCCACGACTGGAAGCACGGTGGACAGAGTGAACAGTTAGTTCTCGACACCCACACCAGGGGCGCTAGTGACTCCCTTGTACACCAGGTGTCAGTTCATCCCTCTACTGTAGTTCATCCCCACATCGCTGTGATCGCTGGGGTAGCTGCGTCACTAGCCACCTTCCTGCTAGTCCTGGGCATATTCACCTGGCGGTGGGGCGGTTGGACTCCGAGGACGAAAACTGTACAAGACTTCAACCAGCCTTCCCATATATTCAAAGGTGACTACATTACTACATTAGTTTTATGTTGAATATTTTCGTCTACATTTTCCAATGGATTTTGATTGATTTGTACCAGTGTTATTTATTTCTAAAGACAGTTTACTAAGATATTCTTATGCATTCAAAGATAAATACATCTGATGGTTTGAAATACCTTGTTTTCTGTACCTTCATCTAATAACCAATAATAGATAACCCACAATAGATAACCCATAGATAACCAATAATGTAACAGGTAAACAAAATATAAAAAACCCCTTCCTCTTTTGAATAAGTGAATACCGGTACATTATATCCTGTACTCTTATTTTGTGAACATTTTATATAATCTCTCTATAAAATAAAATTTTTTCCGAAATGAAACAATTAAATTATTTAATTTTATTTGTATGCCTAAACTTCTTAAACAATTATCTTCAACTTAATTTTTCACTCCCAAACATTGGGCTACAACATGATTATTTCCGACAGAAATATGGAAACAAAGTTGATCCATGTTGACTAAGACAACAATAACAGTGTATTAACCCACTCTGTTGTTTACAGTATACCCCCCCGCAGTGAGGCTAGGGATGAATGCCTCCCCCGCCCCGCTAGAGGCTATCCCCTCAGTATGCGGCTCATCGTGATGAAGCCAACCTACAACTGTACATACGACATAGTTCCTAACTCTTCGTGACTGCTTCAGTGTATACTATAGTCTGTATGATGGAACCTGTCTCATAACCTCCAGTCTACTTGGGACTGACTGCCAGGGCCTTGAACCATTGACCGGTCAGAAGAAAGGTTAGGAGACAGGTTACATATAGAGTATATACTTTCATAGAGCTCTGTACCAGAACCTACTGAGTCCAATAAGTTTTTATTTTTTATTAATCATTATAAACACTGAGAACTGTCAATTTCGTAAAATTTGTTGTCAAATTCATTCTAAGGACAGTGGTTTTTATGTCCTAACTTTGGGTCCAAAAATTCTAGGTTCTTGCCAGAAATCGTGTATACTCATTACTTCAGATTTGGTTCAGATGTACGTGTGTTGATCACATGGTTAAAACTATTGGTGATTTATGGGATTTGACCCTAGGACCTCGGGTATCGAAGCCCGCGCTCCACCACTAGATTGACTCCCTAAACTTAAGCAAAGTGGTGATAACAGTTAAGATCTATAGTGAAACATATGAGTTAGGACTTTTTATTTGTAATAAATTTTGGAAACAGACGATGTTAAAATGAATCTCATTCATTTAAATTATGTTATTGGACTTAGTATTTTTTGGTGAGGAGTTATCAATTGCATCTTTCGTGTAGATGTACAAATATTAGACACAGGTTGATAGTGAATCTATTGGTAAAGTGGTGTGTTCCATACATTGAAAAATAAGTTTAAAATAAACTCATTGCAGTATTGTCTATCATGAGTACATTTTGTCAAGTACTAAAACATAGTGATTCTTTTACGTAAATTGTATTAATAATTTAAAATAATAAATTTTGGTATGTTTAATCCTTACTGGTATAAAAAAAACGTTCAAAAGTTCATTAAAATTTAAACATTTCTTATATTTTTATAGGTAACCTTTCTCTTATGATTACATAAACTGTTTCTAGTATTTATTTTATGTCATCGGGTGCTCAGGCTGTATTAGCTGATATATTTTGTAATTTTAATCAAACGTAAATGTAAAGATTAGTTAATGTAATAAATAAAACCACATGTAATTCAATATGGCCTCTCTGCAACTAGCGTTAAATCAAGCTTTCCATTTACTTTGGTGCTCTTGTTAATTGATGGTACTTAAATAGTTTACAATCAATATAATTGATGTTCCAAATATTAAATTATAGGCTTTTATGAAATGATTACTTTGCATAAGAGCGCATTGAATGTAATTACCCATATTAGTTATCTCTATCATAACTGTTAGTGGGGTAAAGGCCACGCCAAATGCAGAATATGTTATTTATTTGGGTTTATTGGTTTTGCTAATTGTAACGGGATCTAAGTGCAAAATACAAATTCCGAATAATTTCTGTAAATATAAAAAGCTAAACTCGAAGGTAATTTGAGTTACTGAATGTTTTAGTTGCTTAAATACATTGATTATGTGTCTCCAATTTCTCTACAATTTTAATTCAATAAGTCATTCAACTACTATTAATGTTTTGTTATATTTATGTAATGTAAATTAATTTGTTTTATTTATGTCCAACTAGTCATATACGAAGACTGAGTGTTTCCTTGTTTATCTAATTGTAGATATTGTACAAAGTCTGTAAGGGCTACCTACTTGTAACCTAGTGTAAATAGTCGATTTGTAATAATATTTAATGTGACTGTAAATATATGTTTATGAATTTTTATTCGTCGATTTCATATCCCTTTTCTCTTTTGCCCTTTTTATAAGGCATCAACGTTTTTTTTTTATGAAACCTTTACAGCTTTTAATGTATATGATTAAATAGTCATCTCATAATTAGTTCACAAATACATGCATTCAAGCAAGCAATAGAGTCATATCCTAACTATATCTACGAATATCCTAGAATGATTATAAGCAAGAGTAGCCCAAAAATGAAAAATAAAATAAAATTTCAATGTTATTAGATCAAAATCAAAGTTTTTTTTTAATTGCTAAATCTATTTTATCAAAAAATGATTAGACTATTCAAATCCATCCTCTTAATTCAAAAATATAAAAAAATAATCCTATAAAATTATACGATATTAAATTCTTGATCTAAATCTGGACTAATTACTTATTGTTCTTAATTAGGTAGAAATACTCATATAACAATTTATACAATTACCTTACTTTTATAACATGGAAATAATGAATTGTAGATAAGCAATTATGAAAATGCTTTACAGTAGTATCTGTTGCGTATGATGAAATATGTTGTAATAAAGCACGATATGACAACTCAACATATTTTTCTCCATAAAATAATTGGGTAAACCCAATAACGTAAGTTAAATATAAAACCAAATAAAACGGTAAAATATAATACAATTGCAGATATTTTAGAAGAAGAAAGTAGGAATCGCAAAATCACAATCTAGGTTCAACTCTAAGGGTGGGTAGAGCTTGTACATTATCTGGGTTATATATTAAACGTCTCCCCTCCCTACCTGCACAGCGGAAACGGAGGCTCATTTCCTTGATTTAGGAGTTTAATGGTTTTGTAATAAACACAAAGGCTTGCAAGTAGTTGCAACGGAGTTTAATGGCCCTAAAGATAACTACTTATCTTAGATTAGTGAAATTATTTGGCTTTGACAAACTACAATTTGTCAGTAAATTAAGAAACATTTTTTCAATTATCAACGGCTTAATCAAGCCAAGGACTATCATAATTCTTCCAAAGCACAGACAAATTTATTTACAATTTTATTTATAAATGTTTAAAACTTTTAGCTATAGGTTTTCAGAGGTTTTTGGTTAATAAAGTCGTTTTAATATTAGTAAAATCGGTTAATTGGAAGACGGCAAAACCAAGTGAATGATTCTGAGTAAATATTTTGTTGGAATCAGATGTATTTCTGCTAACAAAAATAGTAAATTTCACCATAGCTAAGATATAAGTTATATAATATTCGGTTTGTGAGCTGATTAGTGTTATCATTATGAAACACACCGTAGAGCAGTAATCTATGATTGTATCATTTTCTTAGCCATAATTAAATTATAATTGTCTAAAAATATAAAATTGGTTGATCAGAATTGTTCATTTATTAATAAAAATTCATCGAATTTGTATGTAATATAAAAAATACATACTGTACATATTGTCAGTTGATTTTTGTAAAAGAGATGTATGAACCCTATTTTAGTTAACTTTCAAAAGTTTTATTCTTTAGCTGGTTGTATTTACACTTCTATTCCAAAGATTAAAATGTATAACCCATTACGGTATATTTAGTAAAAATATTTATAATCAAATCCCTATCATCTCCTAAAATCAAGTTTGAATAAACTATACAGACGGATAATTTTTATCCAATAAACAAATACCTCCGCCGCAGCAAACCTGCCGTCTAAGCGAATTTCCATTTGGCCGAATTGATTTTCAATTGATCTATTTAAATAACATTAGGTTTAACGAGTACCTAGGTTTGCTGCTACAAGGAAACTAATAAAGTAGTGTGTTTTTAGTAAAATATTGATAGCTTACTATAAAATAAATAAATTTGCTAAGTTTGATCAAAATATATCCATAAACAAGCAAACTACAACATTTTACAATATTCTCCATAAGAATAACATGGGAATTTTAAATTTACCATTTTTTTAGTTTTCTCCGTAACCAATAACCGTACAAAAACACTTTGATATACTGAATTGTTTGTTTTTTTAAGCTCTTTAAGAAGGTTTAGAGAAAAATTGGGAAATTTTGTGTTTTGAGGGTAAAAAGTGAGAAAAACCAATTTTTACCCCATAAAACCCCCCATAAAACCCTGTTCCCATGGTCCGATCATGCTGGATCGCGAACTCATTCAAGTTTATCCCGCCTTACACCTTTAAACCAAATTTCATCAAAATCGGATAAAAATTACTCAAGTTATCGTGTTCACGGACACATATATATATATATAAATCTATATATATATATATATATATATACATATATAAAAATTTGAACGAATGGTGTTTTTGGCCTCTGGGGACATTAAAATGAAAAAGTAAATCGGTCCCGGGCCTAAGTCTTGCCATGAGACCTACGGTAATAGCTACTTCCCTATAGGGAAATTCGCTAAAATTATGTAATTTAACAATACAGTACATGATTTTAATACGAAAATGACTCTCAAATATCAAAAACATACTCCATCCCACACCAGTTCTTTAAGCTTATGCTTTGTAGTCTTCATTACATCCTCTCACCGAACTTCACTAATGGAAACCACTGTAACAGCACTTGATAGTTTGAATCCGAGTCAGTGAACCTCTTCAATTAAGCCATTAAGATGTAATGGTCCATTAATTAACAGAAGGTTACAGAGATTCATGGTCACAGACTTGTTACCGGGGTCTGTGATTGGCTGCTGCTGTTCTTCTAATTATGAGAATAGAATAATTGCTAGAAGAGAAATACAGCACAGAGTTCAATAGCTTATTCAGAGTACCTATCTTTTGTTTTATTGTCTGAAAAGTTTGATATTCAAATGTGTTTTGACGAAGCAAAAAATAGTTTCACAATAATCTTGAAACTGAATGTTGACGTCACAAATAAAAAAAAATTATTGGCTCTTGACTCTATGCGTCTAAACACAAGGAGATTCATTGCAATAACTAATATTTTAATATAAAACGCAATTTTAGTAGCCGTTTACTTTCTGGTCGGTTCACATGTTGTGTAAGTATAAACAACTTCACCCAAACAATTATTTAATGCTTCTTTGTATACGAAAGTAATGTGCTATACCATAATCAATACTAAGACAGTGATTTCTTGCAAACTCCCAAAAAATTGAGAATCATTTTCAATCATCGCACTATTTTCGAAGTAGACAATACCGTAAGTTGACGTTTCATAGACAGCGGACATAAAGGCGGGAACTCAACGTGCCACGGCGGGAACACACACAGAGCAATGATGCAGATTGGCGAGTCGCAATTTTCATGTCAATGTCCCGCACAAATTCAATTTACCCCGACATTCCAATACTCTGCCTGAAGCCTGCAGCACCGACAATCATACTCTATGGTTACATTAAAACTGCTATTAGTTCTAAACACCGCCACCGGACAGATCGCTGAAGTCGGGGTATACCGGGGGCGTTATGTGCATCCATGGTCGATAAACTTAACATTGTCAATGAGTTGCCTAGCTGAGTAGTAATAAATTGCGGTTTGAGTGTGATCATTTTCAAATATAAGCAAGTGATGGAATGCATATAAAACAAAGCTGGAATAAAAGCGTTTGACGCAAGATATGAAAATCATTGTAAGGAGAAATTATTGTTTTCTTAAAATTTGTCACGTTTTCGTTTTGGTGGATGTATTAATTTTGGGCACCCATGAACCTAAAAAAATGTTTTTGAAGTGATTTCTCTGTGTGTGTGGATGTGTACATAGCTAGAGACCACATTTATGGTCAGATTTCGATTTGGTATGCAAGTACCATAGTATACCCAGGTTTTTTAAGAGGTTTTAGAAATTTAGATTTTTAATGGAATTTTTCTATAAAAACCTATAAATACCGGAAAGTCTGATTAAAAAAGCTCAACTAATTAAAATTAATTATATTATAGCCCTTTTTACTCTGAACAAAAGTGTACAACCTCGACTGCTTTAAAAATTACGGTTCAAAATCTATTAGGACTTTTGTAATTTCCCTTATAAAATATCACAGTTACTCCCACCACTCCTGGGGCCCTATTTTTGAAATGGTTGACTGTTGAGTCAATCGTCAGCACTCAACTCAACCAACAACATGATTTGGTATTTTTGAAACCCAACAGTTGGGAAGCGAGTTGGGAATCGCTAGTTGAGAGACTCGTGGTGGAAATGTAGAGCATACGACCGTCAAAAATTCAGATGACGTCATTTTGAACCAATCACAATGCAGAGTTCTTGTGGACTTCAATTTAACCTCTTTTTACTCTAAAATCTGGCAGCTAATCTCAATCTGCCATATTACGAGACACTGAGGTAAACTGTCAACTCCGTTCTTGAGAGATTGAGATTGAGGTTATGTCTTGCTTAATCTTAGTGATTGCAAAGTACCTTAACTTAAGTAATAAACTAAAGTAAACTAAATAAAGTAATAAACTTAAGTATAAAAAATAAAATTTACTATGGATGTTTGTTTTAGGGTGTAGCTAATTATAAGTTTAGGCATAGGCTGCACTTTACTTTAGGTCCTACACTCATCCTAAATACATTATTATTTGCTTTCTTCGTCTCTATTTCGGAACACATCACCTTATTTTAGTTTCCTTCATCGGTTTGTTTTATGTTATTTTTAATTGTTTTTTATTCAGGTTAAAGCGGCTATTTGCCATTGCACTGAAAGCATATCGTAACTTAAATTAATTTGATCCCTTTATTAGGTGAATGGTATTGAAACAAACTATGATATTGTTTCTCTCTACTACAATCTTTAATACATCATAGGTCTAATAACAATAATTATCTTATAATAAGTTCAATTAGTATGCCTAGTCTATTTCAAACATTCCAACAAGAATAAAACCCTTGATTAAATAGTCTAGTATTGACACAGTAAATAAAATTAAAATGCGATTATTCTACAGAAAACAATCGCATAATTGGGTGCTAATACATTGACAACAAATACATAACCTCTAAATCGCAATTAGTAAATTAAAGCAATAACAAAACAATATGGCGTCGTCT